CGTCGGCGAGCCCGAAGCTGGCCTCGACCGGCAGGTATGCGTGCACCAGGAACGCGCCGCTGCCCTCCCGCAGCTCCTCCCGCAGGATGCGCGCGCGGCGGCGGCCCAGCACGGCGTACACCCCGGACAGCGCCTCTGCAGCGGCTTGGACCTTTGGTGAGAGACGTATTGCGTTGGTTTTTTGAAAAATATGTTGAAAGGAAAAATTGTTCAAGAGAAAAGAGGGTGGGGGGGAGAGGGATGGGGAAAAGAGGGTGGGGAACAACAGGTCTGGTTGGGGAACAGGCTTGGGAGGAAAAGAGGGTGGGGGAAAAGAGAGCAAGCATGACACGACAGAGACCCAGTGCATCAAACCAGCAGGTTCCCCCAAACACAAGCAGCCTCTCCCCTGATTTAGCAGCCTTGGGCCCCCCAAAGAAAACTAGCCTCACGACATACACAGCAGCCTCGCCCATGATTAGGCAGCCTCGCCCCAGACCCAGCAGCCCCACCACAACACAGCATCTCCACCCCAGACCCAGCAAGCATCGCCGAAACCCTAACAGTGAAACAGCAGCCCCAGCTGCGAGCAGCCCCGCCCCACCTGGCACAGGAACAGCGCCTCAACCAGCCGCGGCTCCGCCTCCATCACCGCCAGCCGGCACGCCCCCGCCACCGCCGTCATCACCTGCCCGCTGAACGGCCCATACACATCCTCCTGCAGGTCAAACGCCGCCGGCACGGGCGCAGGCGCGGGCGCGTCCGCGGCCCCGCCCTGCTCGCGCCCCTGCTCGTCGGCGGCGTCGACGGTCAAGACCGCGGCGGCCGGCGGCCGCAGGCGCGCCTCGATCTCGATGGCTATGCCCCAGAGCGGCTCGTCCATCAGGGGGCCCGCAGCCGTCGCCAATGAGAAGCCGGCGACGACGCCGGACTCGATGCTTCCGCGCACGTGCTGCCAGCCGGGCGCCGACCCGAGGGCGGCCGGCGGCGGGGTGGCGGTGGCGGCGGCGGGCGCCGACGGGGGGCGCCCGGTGCGGCTTGCGGGGCGGCTGCCGGCGGCGCTGCTTGGTCTGGTGCCGGCGCCGGCGTCGCCGTCGGCCGCGTCGGCCTGCGCCTGCTGCGCGTCCGCGCCCGGCTCGGCACTCAAGCCCAGGATTGCAGCTGCCTCGCAGGTGCCCAGCGGCACATGCACGGTCGCCTCATGAATCACCGCCCCCGCTGCCGCCCCTGCACTGGCCGCCGCTGGGTCGCCGGCGCCGTACGCGTCTGCTGCGCCGCCGCCGCCACTGGGGCCCACCGCCGCCGCCGCCTGCGCGGGCTTGAGCGCGCCGCCATGCCGCGTCGTGCGGACGACTGAGGTGCTGGGCGCGTCGAACAGGCTGCCGCCGCCGACGGACGCCTCCCCCTCAACAGGCACGAGCACGTTCGGCCCGATGTGCTTGGGCCCCAACAGCCACGCGCGCCGCAGCAGCCGCAGCAGCTGCTTCCCGTCCGCCGACTCGTCGCACGCGTGCCGCACGCGCTGCCTGAACGCCGCCAGCCCGGGCGGGCCCGCACCCGCCGAACCGCCGCCGCCACCGCCACCGGCCGTCCCAGCGCCGGCCGGCTCCCCATTGCTGCCGTCGGCCGCCGTCGCGCCGCCCGCGTCGCGCCCCGCCTTCCTCCCGGCCTGCTGCTCTAGCAGCTGCTTCAGCAGCGCCGCGTTATCGTCCAGCACCGACGCGAGCGCACCCGGCAGCGCGTGCGCGCGCACGCGGACGGTGCAGGCGCCGCTGGGCGTGGACGCCTCGACCACGCGTGCGGGGCGGCCCACCTGGCCCTCCGCAGCCTCCTCGGGGCAGAAGATGCTCTCCCTGAAGGCCACCAGGGGCGGGGACACCTGGCAGGAGCGGGGCGCGGGGTGCCGGGCGCCGAATGCGATGTCGGTCTCAGATTATAAATCACAATTGAATTATCAACGCTGCGATGACCGGCACCTAGGGCCGCTCTCACCGCGTGACAAGGCCGGCAGGCGACGCCCTTGCAGGAAACGCAATCAGCCAGCTGCCCCACAGGCCGCTGCCGCTCCTCCCCTTCCACGCACCACTGGAACCCCCTCCAGCCCCTCACCTTCCCAAACCCGCCCCGCCCCGCCCGCCGCCTCAAGCGCCAGGGGCCGCGAGGCCGCCGCGACAACAGCGACGTCACGTGCGCTCAAGGGCTTTCACGTGCGCTCAAGGGAAAGCCCCCCACCCTAAACCCTGAACCCCAAACCCCTGAAACCTGAACCCTAGCTGCGCCCACCCACCTGGAAGTCTACGCGTGCAAACCTCTCCCGCAGGTCCTTGACACACGTTTCCAAATGCACCTCCCCCGCTGCACCCAGCAGCTGCTCCCCTTTGTCGGTGATGCCGACCTAGCGTGGCGGTTTCGGAAAAAAACGGGGTTTGCTACAGTTGCCTCGGAGGAGAGATGTATTCTTATAAACTATGCATAGCCGGCCATGATGCCGGCCGGCCATGATGATGTGTAAACAGCTGGCAGCTGCAGGTCATTTCACATGCTGCTGGCCCTTGGGCGAGGCGCCCGCCTATCCGCCCCCCACGCAAAGACCGCTCAGCGCTCGACTCGCGGCTTCTGATGATCGAGGGACTGACAACACAACGACGTCACGCAGCACGAGCAGCGCCGAAGAGCGGCGATGACGACGAGAGGTGCAGCCGGCGCGCCCGGCCGTTTTGGTCCTTGAAGCGGGTGCGTTTGGTGCATTCGAGGGCCGCGCCGCCAAGGCCCACCTCTACAAAAGGGTCGGCCCTGTTGAGCAGCCGCAGGCCCTCCGCGAGCGCCGCCATGTCAGTGGGCCGGGACGGCTCGAGCGCGACGCGCACGATGGGGGCCGCCTGCGGACGGCGGACGGGCGAGGGGGCGTCGGCACAGGGTGGGAGGGGAGATAGGCATCAGAGCAGGCACGTCGCGCATGGATGAATGCAGCTCCGAGTCAGGGTGGCGCGGGGATCGCGACGAGATGATGCGTCTCGCCCTGAAATCGACGCGACGGCCGTCGCTGTCGGCGACTGCACGAGAGGGTCGCTCCTGCCTCGACATGTAAACGGCGGCGGCGGCTGCGAGCACGCGTGTACACACGCGCGCTCTCATCCTCGCCTGGAAAACCATCGGCGCCAGCGGCCACGCGCAGGGTGTGCTGGACAGCGTCGCGCTCTTGAGCACGGCCGCCTCGAGCCCGGACGCCGCCAAGATATTTCCGGCTGGCACCTCCGGCAGCCGCTCCAGCGCGCGCCCCATCATCAGGTACAGCCCCGTCAGCGTCGCGGTCTGCCGGTGCCTCCCCGGCTCCCGCGGGTCGTACGCTGACGTCAGCACATGGACGCGCGCCCCCTCGCGCGCGACGCCGCTGAACACGCGGCCGAACGCGAGGAAGACCTCTCCCGGGCCGTCCGCGGCGGCGGAAGGCGGGGGGTCGCCGGGGCGGCGCGGCAGCAGGCTGGCCGGGACCGAGATCATCTTCGAGACGTAGATCACTAGCGGCGCGTCGGTCGCTGACGAGGACGCCGCCAGGTGGCTGCGCGCGCGCTCCAGCGCCGCCGGCAGCTCGGGCGGCGCCGCGC